ATGTGGATATTTATTTATAATAAACTAACTAGTAATTTTATGATGTTTTTATTCACTTACTAGCGACTCGCCTCGGCTTCGCACGGGTGTACATGTATTATAAACATAAACCTTCCTGTTGAATAACTCTATATATATAAATACCGCTGCAAAATCCGTTGCGTAGTTTTAAAAATTTAAGCATATATAGAGACGGACAGACAGCGACAGAGACTTTTTATACTATGTAATAATGATAATGATTTTCCACAGACAATATCTATATATTATTTTTATTACCATAGACTGAGAGTAGGCAAAAGCATAAAGCTATACATTCTTAACAATAACAATTCAGTTTAACCAGTGTAAACAATAACAAAAAAAAACAATCCAGTAAGGGTAAACGTGCATAAAGACATTGTGATCTAATACATTGGTATAGAAGGCGGAATTGATGAAACGATATACAGGTTTCTAAAACCCAACGCGGAACCTTAAATGTAATAAAATATTCACAGCCCATATTTAAATATTACTTGTTTTAATTAGTTATATATTTCGCTATTTGTCAGCAATAAATTTTAAACTTATGACGTTGTAAATGGATTATAAATTCATAACAAAACCGGCCTCAACAATTTGGTAGCGACGTCATCACGTCACGTATCCTACCGGATTCTGGGACCAGTATAGGGACTATATTTGGCAGATTTATTCTATTTATTTTCTAATTACTACCCGCGATATCGTCCGTTTTGAATTGAAATATATAAAATATCTAAAATAAAAGCAGCCTATGTTAGTCCTTATAATATTAGCTATCTATGAATGAAAGTCTCATCAAAAGGGGTCCAGCCATTTCTGAGATTAGTAAGAACAATCGGACGAACAAAAATTTTAGTCGGTTAATAAAACAATAATTATAAAAAAAATCATGACATTATCATGTGCTACCGTTGCCTCCTTTTACGTTACCATTTCTGAGAACTAAGGTGTCATGTCTAATGTGTTAAGGGCCCTATAATTTCTCCGCTATATCACAAAGTGCTGACCGGTAGAATAAGGTAAACAGAGGTACCCACGCTGTCGACTTCGTAGAAAGTCTACTTCAGTAAACAGTATCCTACTTTGGTTTAATATATATATTGAAATGCACTACAAAAAAAAATAGGATATTTTTTTTTTAATAGGATATTCCCTAGTCTTTTTTACATTCATAAGATATTCCCTAGTCTTTTCACCGTTATTTGGCATCCGCGTATATAATTTTCCTCTTCTCCACAAATTCCTACTAGCTTAAAATCACTCTCCTTCTAACATGTGACTGTTTTTCCGTACACAGCCTCACATTCAGCCGGTATGTAGGGCCATGATTTACCTAGCCTATCTCCTAAAGGCACTGAGGGTATAGTATGTTGGGAGGTTGCTTTCAGGCAGTCTCCCAACATACTATACAACTCAACAGCTTCAATAGTCATCATTGGGGGGAAAGAGAATTAGTAATGTGGACCGGTGACCCCATTGCTAACAATGTACCATGTCAAGTTCATCTCCATGTGGTTCCCCCTGGAAACCACCTTAATAAATTCCTGGTGAATTTGTCACAATGGGTTGACTGACCTGACTTTATGTTCATCTTATCATCCTCCACTGGTGCCGCGCCAGCGTAAACCGTAAGCGCCTTGGACCATTCCATTAAAAATTCATCATTCATCATCTATCCATCACCCATTGCTAACAATGTACCAAGTCAGGTTCATCTCCATGTGGTTACCCCTGGAAACCATCTTAATAAATTCCTGGTGAATTTGTCACGATGGGTTGACTGACCTAACTATATGTTCATCTTATCATCCTCCACTGGTGCCGCGCCAGTGTAAACCGTAAGCGCAGGCCTTAAACCATTCCATTAAAAATTCATCATCCATCATCTATCCATCATTCCTTGGGTTTTTTTACATTCAATATTAAAATTTATTCAATATTACACAAAATATTATCATATTTGTCCTTGAGAGTAGCAACAGATGTGCGTATAATTATTCATAATGTATTAACTTGGCATTTCAATAGGTACCTATCAGGAATTGTAGACAAAGGGTTGATGACTAATTATATATGTTAATGACACTGGAAAATAACTCATAATGTACAACAGTTAAAGTGTGTAATGGGTAACCATTTGTCGAGGCTGATAGTTGGCACAATGAAACAAAATAAAACATACAAATTATATACCTTCCCACTCATTCTGTGATGAAAACACTTTTTGTAGTAGGATGGGTAAATATGCTGGCGTATTTAAAAAAAAAATTTGATGGTCTCTGTGGTCTATGGCCTTAGCACATCACCTTACTTCTGATTATGATGGGTTCAATTGCTCGCAAGGTGCAGATATTTGTATTTAGGAGTATGATTGTTTGTATTAGTTTGGGTGTTTTCTATGTATATTATGTTAGTATGTTGCACTGCTTTCATTAAAGATTTACTTCATAAAAATAAATTTAACACATAACATAAGGGGGTGATTTTTTTACTTGATTGTGCTGTGTAGAAAAGCTGAAGATGTCCAGCATCTATTGATGGAATGAGAAGCAAGCTGCAAGATGAGAAGAAACTATTTATTAAAACTTTTGAAATCAATAAATTTGGTGTGGGTATTATTGAGAGTGTACTACATGCCTCTTCTGAGATTGCTCTGTGTTTGTGTGTGCACTGAGAAAAGCAATTTGATACATAGATTCCTCTCAGTTAGTAATTATTTAAATTTCATTTAGTTTAGGATAGCTATAATGGGTATGACATGTCTGGTAACAAGACTCCCAAAATCAATTTAGATAATAAAAAAAAGAATAAATACAGTTTGAGAATCAATTGCCATTATATCACATGGTGACAGCAGTGGGATATGATCTCACACCCTTATAGATTGATGTATATACCATATATCACAAGAGTCTTTCAAGTAGTGTTTCAACAAAAATAGAAGAAATTCAATTGAGTGTCTTACCAGTTCTTCTCAATTGAATCTGTATACTAAACTGGATGGTAGGAAAAAAATATTAATAATATAATCCTGACTTTCATAAGCGGCTAAAATATCCTACATGAATAAATTCTTTTTTATTTAACTTTATTTGAATATTTTAAGAATGGTGCTCTTGTCTATACTAATAATAAACAGAACTATACTACTAGTTGGGGACACTAGTAGATGATGATAGCATGAGCTTGAAGTCAAATCAGTCAGTCCATTGTGGACAACTGTCCAGATATAACCCACATTGGTTTCCAGGAAAGACCTGGTTGAGACAAACCTGACATGGTATATTGCTCGCAACATGACCACTGGTGCCCATTACTAGGTCCCCTTCCCTGCCTTTTTACTTTTCATCTTTCACCAAATTTTGTTATTTTTTTATTTATCCAAAACAAGCCTTTTAAAATAAGAGTAAAATCAGATAACAGGCCATTAATAAAAGTAACAATTAAACAATTCTTACAACATTAAAAAATATTACTAACAAAACAAAAGTGATGATAGAACTTAAGTTAGTTTGTAATATTTCAATATTTAATTTAACTTACCAAATGTCACCCGGAAAGTTAATGTAAGCCTTTTCGTTATTCACAACTACTGTCACAATAATTATTCAGGCAATTTTAATGAACTAGTCAATAGGAAACAATTATTGTTTTCATTAATTTGAGTTTGTTTTTGAGTCATAAAAACAAACAAAGCCGAACAAATGTACAGATAGACACATAAAGTTATTAATAATTACTGTCAGTTAAGTCAGTCCGTTACGTCAGAAATTATAGCTGTCAATCATAGAATACACAAAATACAATACTTTAAATTATCTGTGGCTATTGACCATAGATACTGAGCGATGCATTAATTATTTTATTATTTTCATATTAACCCGATAATACAGATTACAATACTTGATAGTGCGTTATAACGTGCAGTTCGCTTTAGAATTGCAAATATTAAATCGGTTGCATTTGTGTTTTTATTCATATATAACCTATACTTACAGGAATTTCACAAAAGTTTTACAACTAGTCTAAAAATATATAATATAATCATATTTATACTTTTGAATATGAAATAATACATTGTTTATTGTATATACAATGTTTTGTTAGTTTTCAATCTTCAGATTAAGCATAAAGTTTAGTTATTATTATTAAGCCCAAAATTAGGAAAATGAATTTTCTTTCGAGACGTCACAATAAGAGATTTTGTCACTTTCCCACAGTTTGCCAGTTTATAAATAAAAATTATTATGGTAGAAAACTAAGTAATATTAAGGTAAAATAAGAATTAATTAATTATTTGAATAGAATGCACAGATATTAATTAACGGTTAGTCCGTAGATATATTTTAATTTAAAGTTTTTTATAATTATGTAGAGGTAACGATGATAATAAATATCTAATAAGTTGTTCTGTAATTTACTAAATATATTTTATGTACATACCAGGATAACATGTATTATTGAAACTCAAACACATTTCTTACATTACAATTTAAACATTACTCTAAAATATATTTTATGTATTCGTATTAATGTAATACATTTTTAATACCTCGTTTTAGATGTTTATTTTGATATCGCAGTTTAAAATAATCATACGCTTATTGTATGGTTATTGTACTGATATTTTTAGCTATAAGTATGCAGGTCTTTCTATTATTGTTTACATATATTTTATTATTGTATTTTCACATTGATCCATATTTTTGTGATGACAATAGATATTTTAAATAGGCCGCCTTTTCGCTTCTCACGCCCAGTTTGACGTCATGATACGGGGTTCTCAAATATGTCTTACCGCACCCTACTTAATTCGTTTCAAAACATCTTATGTCTAAATCGTGTTCGTACCCTTTACCCTTAATGTTAGGGACCAGAGTTCTATTTTCAATAACAAATATTTTAGTTCCCATTTCCAACACCAGATGTCATAACCAAATCATACTACATTAGCGCAGAATATACCAATCACGTTCCTGGAACTTTGACGCAATTTGCAAATGGCCGTGAAAAGGATCTTCGAGGGTGTATGAGTAGTTAATGGTGGATGAATTTGTGATAAAAACTAGTGAATAATACATATTTCTGTGAGGTGTTGTCGATAAGATACAAAATGTGCCAAAAAGTGAGAATCCAGTCTTAATAGTGCTACAGGAAGCGCCCGATAACCGCTAGGACGGACTACGAGACTAGCTAGCAGAAGGGTAAAGTTCTAATATCTTTACAATTTATCATATTGTTATTTCTCTGTTCGTATTATTTATTTCCGTTCTACGATAATATGAAGAAAGTTTGGTGAGCTTATCCAACATGATATCGATGTCTAAATCGTATGGCGACATGGGTGTATTCTCGAGTCGCCGGTGCATAGGCGTTGCTTGTAACATAGTCAAAAAGTCCTTGTTATTGAGGTAATGGAGTCGTCCGTACGTCTAGGCGTTAAAATAGATTGATTTGGTGTCATCAAGCAAAGGTAACGACGATTTGTATAGGAAATAGGAGTGGAATAATTCCATATATATCTATGTATGTATTATAGCTTTATAGTAGGCACGGCCTGCCCTGTTGCTAGATGGAGGAACATCGATTTGTTCCTACTATCACTTATTAATGTTTAATTAGCGCGAACTCGTGTGGCTACAATTGTTTTGGATGTATTTTATCGGTTCTGTTAACGTATTTTTCGTGATTCAATAATAATTTCACTTAAGTGTTATGTTTGATAAGTTAATTAATTACATGGTAATTCTTATTAATCAATTTACATTCCTCGTCATATCTATGTATGTAGTTGTGATGTCATGAGATTATATTGATTGCAGGTGGGTTTTTAATGTTATTGCATAGACAATTTGATGATTGAAATTTTTTAAGATTTGGGTACTTGCATATTTGCTTGTATGTTTGTAATTCACTAAAAGTGACGTTAATATTTAACTATGAACATTAGTTATTCATGGTTACTTTATATTTCTCTTTTCTTGTGACTAAAAGTTGAATTACTAAATGTATGAATAATTTTTTAAATTGTTAATACATACAGTAAAATATAAATATTAGCTACTTAAACAAAAAAGAAATGGTTGTGTACACAGATGTTTTTATAGTTTATTGAATGTTTATCTTATAATTATTTATATTGATAAATAATGCAGAAAGGACAAAATATGATTTGACATACAAACAAACATGGCAATCGGAGTATTATAATATTACTAGATATTTTTCTAGTTAGTTTCTAACGTGGTTTATAAAATGGAACTACATGTAGCATCCATATCAATACTAATATTATAAATGCAAAGTCTGTCTGTCTACTACTTTTTCATAAATAATGGCTGAACTCATCTTAATTAAATTTGATGTGAAGATATATTGCTTTGTGAGAACGGATATATCTGTCCATATCTATATACACATATACATGTCTATTATATACTCACTAAAACATGTATTTCTTCTTCTTCTTTATTTTAAATGGCCGCCACCAATGTTGATTGGTGATTTTGCCAATGTCATGGTTTAAGACAGTGTAATTTGTAGCTGTAGCTTATTTTAGTTAACTTTGACAGTTTCGTTCAGGTTCGGTATATTATAGTTATTGTATTTCTTGAAGCATAAAACACTGGCCAGAACAACATCTGACAATATCTATTATGTTTAAAAAATGACCATGAATAAATTTATTCTCTTTTTTTAATCTTACTATTGTGCTTAATATGAAAGTTTGTAAAGCTTTGATGGATAAATGGATGATGGATGTATGTTACTCTTTCACACAAACTACTGAATGGATTTTCAGATGAAACTTTACAGTAATATAGCTTAGACATCAGAATAACACTAATAATGAAATCTACAACCTATGTGATTTGTATAATTATAAAATCCCATCAAAATAGGATGACATTATTGTGTTTTAATATTAATTGACAATTGTTTGTCTAATTATTTATACTTTATTCATTCTTTATGAATTTTATAATGAATATTTGGAAAGTTTTAATAATTAATAAGTACTCTGTATATGTATAATGAATATTTGGAAAGTTTTAACTTTATAGTTTTCATTATGTAATAGCATGTTTATTATAATTTTTTTATATTCTATTCAACAATGTAAAGGGAGGGGACACCCTAAGAAAAGATGGATGGATTGTGTGAAAGATGATATGAATAAAAGACGAGTGGAAGAGAATGACATACTGCGCCGACCCCAAATAATGGGATAAAGGCAAGGCTATGATGATTCTATTCAACAATATATATGTATTTTTTTTATTCCTGTAATACACAACTCTCTACAAATGTAATTAAAATGTTTATAATATGTTAGAGGGAACTGGATTACATGGCTCATGTTTACCTATTTTAAAAGCCAGCCCTGAATGTACCAAATTGTACTGTATATTTGTGAATAAAAGATTATTATAGATAAATTTTTTAATATATGTATGTGCCGACATCTCTGCCCTGCTTATGTCAGCTACTGAGGTTTTGTTGAAGGGTCTCAACCCTCTCAATAGACAAAAATGTTATCTCAATAAAGCAGCATAATTATCGGTTTTTTTTATGGATGATAATGGAATGGTGCGCCCGCCTACACTAACAGTTTATGCTGGTGTGGCACCAGTGATGATAAGATGAGCATGAGGCTGACCTCATGCTCATCTTATCATCGTCCACTGACCTGAGTCAGTTAGCCCATTATGACAAATTCACCAGGAGGGACCGCATGGAGATCAACCTGGTAATGGTACATTGCTAGTAATGGGGTCATTAGTTCACATTACTAACATTCCCTTTTCCCCTTGTAATTACTGTAATTACAGGTTATGAGGCATGACACTGTAGTGTATTACATGTATTACATGAGTGGTATGGTATTGTCACATGACGTCCATAGTACTGTTCATGTATGTAGACTACAGTTACTATTTACCATTAGATGGTGTGTTTATGTTCATTATGAAGTATTATTCTTTATACTAGAGGTTTCCAAACTTGCCATATTTTTCAGATTTGGGTAGACCCCCCATTCATACCTGGTATTGATTTTTTATAAATATCTAACTGTAGTGTTAAAAACATAAAGTAAAAACAACAAGATGACCGCTGTCATAGACCCCTTGCAGTTTGTCATAGACCCCTGGGGGTCAATATAGACTACTTTAGGAATCACTGCTTTATACCTATTTCTATTTTAGTTCTGTTACTAAGAAAGCAGAATATCTATGTACTAAATTTATATACATTTCTATCAAAACTAGTCTTATGTTTTGTTGTGTTCAATAAAACACTTCAAAGAAAACAAACTACAGAGAGAAATAGTATAATACACAAATAGTAATACACAAATTTTTATATATGGAAATAACACTTTCTTCTCTTTACACAGTAGATGATAATAGGTATGATGGGACTTGCATTATTATTATATGATCAAAATAGTCCATATCTAGTCTATATCTATATACAATCTTTACATATATATAAAATTGGAGTGCCTGTTTGTAATATTGAAATAACCGTTTTTTACTAGATGCATATGAATATAATATACATACACCAAAATATATTTTTTTACAATTTTTGTCTGTCTGTTTGTTCCGGCTAATCTCTGAAATGGCAGGAGCTATTTTAGCGGGACTTCTATTGGCAGGTAGCTGATATAATAAGGAGTAAGTTAGGCTACTTTTATTTTAGAAGAATTAATTTATTTTAAAGTTAAATTCAATGCGGATGAAGTCGCGGGCACATCTAGTCCTAAATAAATTTAAGATTATAAAAACAAAATTTGCCCTTTACATTCATCTTTCATTCTTAATCTTTATTTTATTGTTTTCATTGTGACTAATTATGTAGTTGGTGACTAATTTATTATTAAGTATTGTTTATTATATTCACCTAAGACTTCTTTATAATAAGTATGAGTTTGGCATAAGTACAGTTTACAACATTAAAGTTACTCCTTGACACATGCATGGGTGGACATGCATTTGGATCGGATCGGATTTCAAGATAATATTAATCATGACATTGACTTTAGTAGAAATAGAAATGATCTTTATTCAATTAAACTCAATACAAGCACTTTTGAATTGTCATATTTTTATTTTACCACTCATTCCGAATGCAGATTCATCACAAGAAGAATGAGCAAGAAACTTGTGTATTGATTTTTTGAATAGATATTTTTTTTTATAGAAATAACACAAAACAAGTAAGAGGCATCTGATTACTAGATAATATTCTCAGTATTTTGAATTTTAAGTTTTTCTACAAAAACATTATTGTTAACAAACTCTTCAATTTTATAATATGCTTATAAATGTATATACAAAGGAAGTGTATATATTTGATCATTTTACAGGTACTGTGCTTTTTCAGTATAGAACCAATTATCAATTATCATTACTTTTGCTTTATTCACTTTCTTAATTCTTGATTTTGTAGTTCTATAATCTCTAATAATAAATTTGGTATCTTTTGTAATTGTCTATATATGTTGTCTATGTTGACGTATCTATGATCTGTCATCTATTTCCATATCTAACACCCTTGTCTAGTCTTCTCTAGTAATCATAGTAGCAGTAGTAGTCTTGTCTAGTCATATTGTCATCATCCTGGCTCATTAGATTGGCAGTTGGCAGATTTTCTGCTTTACTGATTTAATGCTGACCACAAAATGTATGATGTTATGTAATCATGATGCGTAAATATAGATCTCTAATTCCTGCATAATCTCACTTTCTTATCAATTAGAATTTACTAAAATATATTTTTGACTCCTAATTATTTATCAATATACAAGTACATGTTAATTTACTGGTAACCTTTCTGACACTTTTTTTTTTATGAATCCAATTATTTATTATTTGTAAAATAATTATGTCCACACTCTTATCTTACTGTTTACTTTTAGAGTAAGTTTAAGTAAGGCCTAACTCTATAAGATTCCACTTTTCAGTATCTTGGTTCATTTTTGTCCACAGAAGACGAGCAACTGGTTCGAATTTTCTATATATTTTGCACTCTATTTTTTGCATCTTAGTGCTAGTTGCTATTCAATGGAAAATAATACCATACTTTTAATATAACGAATTGCCATAGTCACAATGTTCTTACGAGTGACTCTAGAACTTGCGAGGTCATACAAACAATTGCGTGTGGAGTGTCTATTATTTGAGATACGTTGAATTCA